ACCTGAAACCACAAAATCTCAATTTGCAATGATTAACTATTAAACAGCAAAAACACCTCTGTTAATAGTGAGATAATGGCAGTGAAGCTGGTTAATATAAATCTTCTATTGAAATCCCGTGTACCCCATTTTCTAATTCTACAAAAATACCCATAATCTCCCATGTTGTTTAAAGAAAGGGAAACAATGGACAAATAGCAGCAAGGAAAGAGCAGTAGTGAAAACCCTCTCAACCAAGGAGCAAGTAAACTGAAGCAGTACATCTACTTCTAAATCTAAATGCCTCTACTCTTTTCTATTCTAGAACATTATAATCTTTTAAGCAAGCAGTCCAACTATACCTGTGGCCTTTTCTTTTTTGACTTGATGTTTATGGTTGTGTCCTGAGCCAGGGCAAACATGAGCATTTCCAAAAAGGCTTAGACTTTTCCAGGGAGGCCTTACTACTATATATTATATTTCCAAAAATTAATAGAAAGCCCAACAACAGTAAAACAGAAGGAAGAAAGGGACATACCGGGCCCCCGGGACAACCTCGAGGGGAAGAGCTGCTTTGCAGGTTCCTTTCTGGTCCCGGCGGCTCCGGAGGGGACGTATTGGGCCCCCCGGGGCAGCGCCGTGTGAAGAAGAGCCGCCTTGCAGGTTCCTCTCTCATCCCATGACCTTGTCACGGACTGGGCGCATCCCGGCGCCCAGGTTTGTTTTTTTCCGATTCCACATTTGAATGAGATAATGCACTATTTCTCTTTCTCTGTCTGACTTATTTCATTTAACATAATACTCTCAAGGTCCATCCATGTTATTGCACATGGTAAGATTTCATTCTCTTTTAATGGCTGAATAATATTGTAAGTGTGTATAACATATTTTAAGGCAAGATTTTTGTTAATATGTTTACACATACACACACATATCATTTTTTTTATCTGTTCATCCATCAGTGGACACTTAGCTTGTTTCCATGTCTTAACTACTGAAAATAATGCTGCAATGAACATATTGAGTGCATATAGCTTTTTGAGTTAGTGATTTTTTTTTTTTATTCCTTCAAAAACCCAGATTGGAATTGTTGAGGCATACAGTAGTTCTTGGCTTTCTCGGTGGCTCAGTTGGTGAAGAGTCTGCCTGCAACGTGGGAGACCTGGGTTTGATCCCTGGGTTGAGAAGATCCCCTGGAGAAGGGAATGGCAACCCACTCCAGTATTCTTGCCTGGAGAATCCCATGGACAGAGGAGTCTGGTGGGCTACAGTCCATGGGGTCACAAAGAGTCGGACATGACTGTGTGATTAACTTTGTTCATTTTTTTTTTTTTACAGTAGTTCTAGTTTTATTTTTTTTCGGGAATCTCTATACTGTTTTCCATAGTGGTCACACCAATTTACATTCCCACCAATAGTGCACATGGGTTTTCTTTTTTCTACTTCCTCATCAACACTTGTTATTTCTTTGCTTTTTGATGACAGCCATTCTAACAGGTGTGAGGTGATAGCACATTGTGGTTTTGATTTGCATTTCCCTGATTGAGCATCTTTTCAGTGTACCTTTTTGGCCCTCTGTATGTCTTTGAAAAATGTCTGCTCAGATCCTCTGCCCGATTTTTAATTGTAGGTTTATTTTTTGCGATTGGGTTATATGAGTTTTAAAAAAATATACTTTGGATATCAACCCATATAAAATACATGATTTGCAAATATTTTCTCCTATTCAGTAGGTTGCCAGTTCCTTTTGTTGATGGTTTCCCTTGATGTGCAGAAACTTGTTAGTTTGATGTTGTTCCAACTTGTGTGTTGTGGCGTTAGTTGCCTTTGCTTTTGGCTTCAAATCTAAAAAAATAAGTCATTGTCAAGACTAATATCAAGAAGCTTACTGCCTATGTTTTCTTTTGGGAATTTTATGGTTTCAGGTCTTACATTCAAGTCTTTAATCCATTTTGAGTTAATTTTGGGGTATTGTGTTCATTTATGGGCATGGTGTAGTGGGCAGAATGTATTGTTGAATCTTGTTTGCTAATATTTCCTTGTTGAGGATTTCTACATCTGTGTTTATCAGGGATACTGGTTTGTATTTTTCTTGTAGCATCCTTTTCTGATTTTGGTATCAAGGTAATGTTGGCTTCATAAAATGAGTTTGGAAGTGTTTTCTCCTCTCTTTTAGTTTTTTGTGGAGTTTGAGGATTGGTATTAATTCTTTGGGTGTTTGGTAGCCATCTGGTCTTACCTATTTGTTGTGAGGCTTTTGATGACTGATTCGGTCTCCTTAGTCTAGTAATCAGTCTGTTCAGGTCTTTCTTCTTCGTGATTCGGTGCAGTATGCCGTATGTGTCTGGGACTTTATCTGTCGTCTAGGTTGTCTAATCTGTTGGCGTGTAATTGGTCATAGTAGTCTGTCATGAGCCACTGTATTTTTGTGGTATTGGTCAATGTGTCCTCTTTCATTTTTAATTTTATTTGAATCTTCTTTTCTTCTTAGTCTAGCTAAATATTTGTCCATTTTCTTTGTCTTTTCAAAGAAGCAGCTTTTAGTTTTATTAATATTTTCTATTGTCTTTTTAGTCTCTATTTCTACTCTGATCTTTGTTATTTCCTAACTTCCATTAGCTTTGGGCTTCATTTGTTCTAGTTACTTGAGGTGTAAATTTAGAATATTTATGAGATTTCTGTTGTGTGGGCATTTATTTTTATGAGCTTTGCTACAGCTCAAGTTTTGGTGTGTTCTATCCATTTTCATTTGTCTGAAGATATTTTTTTTTAATTGTTCTTTTGATTTCTTCTTTGACCTATTGGTTGTTCAACAGCATGTTGTTTAATCTCTGAATTTTCCAGTTTTCTTCCTATAATTGATTTCTTGTTGGGAAAGATGCTTGGTGTGATTTCAATCTTCTAAAGTTTAGAAAGGCTTACTTTGTAGCCTACTATGAATTATCCTGAAGGATGTTCCCTATACACTTGATAAGAATATGTATTCTGTTTATTTTGGATATATATTCTGTATATATGTGTTTGAGTTTATCTGGTCTAACATGTCCTTTAAGGTTGCTGTTTCCTTATTTTTTTTTTTAATCTGGGTGATTTATCCATTGATGTAAGGTGGATATCAAGGTTCCCTATTATTGTATTGCTATCAATTTTTTTCTTTAGGTCTGTTATCATTTGCTTTTATATTTAGGTGCTCCTATGTTGTGTGCATACATATCACAAATGTTACATCTTGTTGGATTTGAGCCCTTTGTCATTTTGTAATGTTTTTTTGCCTCTTATTACAGTTTTTGTTTTATAGTCTCTTTTTGTTATATAAGTATAGCTACCTCAGGCTTTTTGGTTTCCTTTTGCATTGAATGTTTTTCTATTCTTTTTTGGTCTGTGTGTGTGGTCTGCAGAACTCACATCTGCAGTGAGTCTCTTGTAGGCAGAATATCTTTTTATCCATTCAGCCACTCCATGTCTTTTGGAAAATTTAGTCTATTTAAAGTAATTGATAGGTATGCACTAATTTGTGATTTTGTTCATTGTTTTCTGGCTGTTTTACTGGTCCTGTTTTTAAAGTCTCCCTTATGCTGGTCTAGAACTGTCCCCTAGACGTGCATCTTGAGGGTGAGTCTAGGACTTGCGTAGGAGGAGTAGTTAAGTCGCTAAGTCGTGTCTGACTCTTGCAACCCCATGAACTGTAGCCCGCCAGGCTCCTCCGTCCATGGGATTCTCCAGGCAAGAATACTGGAGTGGGTTGCCATTTCCTTCTCCAGGGGATCTTCCCAATCCAGGAATCGAACCCTGCATTGCAGGTTCCAGGTCTCCTGCATTGCAGGCAGATTCTTTACCAGGACTTGTGTGGATCCATTCTAAGATGACTGAACATTCCTGAAAGTGTGAATTTCAGGAGTAAACCCAAGGAAGTCCTGGGCAGGCTGATCCACATTGGCCAGCCCAGTTCACACACAGGATTAGGGGATTCAGAGCCCCTCTGAAGTGCCTTCTTCTCTGGGCTCTCCCTACCCTCTCCTTTCTGCAGGGGCCCGTTCCTGGTTCCTCTGGCCAGAATGGCAGAGTTTATCATGGAGTTTTAGCTGCCCGGTCCTGTGGTTCTGGGGCTGGAGCTTTGAGCTTCGCAGGAAACGAGAGGGAGAAATGGGCAGTTCACCCCCTTTGTGGTCACTTCCGTGTTTTGACTACACTCCATAGTCTGCCTACTTTTGTCCATTTCTCAGGGTCTTCTTTTGTATTTTGTCTAGTGTTTTTAGTAGTGATCAGCAGGAGAGAGAGGCTTTTTAAAGCTGGTAAAATGTGTAAGTTTTACCATCTGAACCGTTTCTAAGTGTACAGCTCAGGGACATTCAGTACATTCACATTATCACGCAGCCATCCTTGCTACCCTCCTCCAGAATGCTTTCATCCTCTCAGATGGAAACTCTGTCCACACTGATACCTGAACTTCTCATCCCTCCCAGCCCCTGGTGATGTTAAAATGTTAAAAGATGTAGGTTTTTAAAGCCACTCTTTGCAAGATGTTTATTAATGTTCCATTGGCCAAAGCAAGTCATGTGGCCAAGCCCAGCCTGAAGCAGGTAGAGAAATAGGAGGCGTGGCCTGGGTGGCCCTGTGGTGTGGAGGCAGGAGCGCCAGCATGGGTCTCAGGAGAGGCCCTGAGTGGAGGAGGTGGGCGGGAGCTCTCAGGGGCTCAGTACTCCTGTCGTTGGGACCCCTCCCCTAGGGAAACCTGACCTCTGATTTCACCCACCTGCTGTATGGGCGGTGGGAGTGGGAGGGATGGGGGTGAGGCTAGGGGTGGGAGGGGGGTTTCAGCAAGGCTCCCCCACCCTCAGCAGTGCTGTGCGCTGTTATGTCTGTTTTCTTTTTCTCTCTGCCTTCTATAACCCCGAAAGACACTCAGGAAATGAACCTCAAAGCCACACTCTGGGGTGCCCACTGCTGCTCTGTGCCCACGCAGGTCTGGGTGGGGGCTGGGGGGGGTCCTGCCCCAGCCCCCTTCCACCCTGTCCCTCCAGGACCTGCGGCCTGGAGGGGCTCAGCTGGTCAGGACACTCTCAGGGTGCAGGGGGGCACCTTCAGGACTTCTGGGGCCCGCGGGGGCGCCCACAGAGTTTATTGAGCGGATGCTGGAGGTCCCGCCCGGCCTGGAAGGCAGCCCTTCGGCCTACGGGGTGGCCTTCTCTCCCACCCACTGTTCTTGGCCGCCCCCTGCCCCTCCCCACCCCGTCAGGTCTGTTCCTTCTCTGCCTCCTAGGCTCTTGGCCCTCAGTGACCTGGCTCTTCCGGGTCATTGGGTAGCCAGGGTCCAGCGACTCCAGAGCGGAGAATCTGATTGGCTTAGACCAGCTCCCGGACGGTGTCTCAGCCTATGAGGGGGCTGCCCTGCGCTGACGCATCTGCCTTGGTTCCATCTGCTGGGGCATCAGGGCCCTGGGGCCAGGACCACCTCCCCGCAGGTGCAGTGTGGCCTGCCTTCCATCCCGCTGGCCATCTGTACTGGCTGTGTGGCCGCCAGGAAGGCACGTCCGCTCTCTGAGCCCGGTGTTCGTGTTCCCTGGTTGCACTTTGGATAGAGCTTCAAGGGGGCAGGCCTGGGGAGGCCTGAGTGTGGGGTTCACAGGTCAGGATCAGCACGGCCACTGTGACTCTCCTCGGAGGGGCTGTGTTCTGGGGTCTGTGAGGAGGACTCCCCCCTGGCCCGGCAGCCTTTTGGGGGCTCACTGCCTCTGCCGTTTCTTCCCAGGAGCAGACGAGAAAGGGGGTGGCAGCCCCGCGGTCCCTGAGGACCCCGCGCGCCCTGGGCTCCCGCAGCTCCCGCGCCGCCCGCAGCTCCTGGAGGAGGACCAAGCGCCCAGGGAGGAAGCGGCCGCCGCGGACGGAGGGGACGCCGCTGCGCCAGAGGGACCCCCGGGCGACCCCCCCGCCGAGGCCTCCGCGGCGCCCTCTGCCCAGGCCGTGGCCGCGGGTGAGGCCCTGCAGATGCCCAAGGCGGCGGCAGGTGGGGTGCCCAACATCGGCTTCGTGGGCGAGCCCCCGCCCTACGCGCCGCCAGACCCCAAGGCAGAGCACCTGCTCTACCCGCCGCCCTTCCCGCCGCCGGTGCTCTTCCCGCCGGCGCCCGCCGCCCCGGCCCTGTACCCGCCGCCGGCGCCACTCTTCCCTGCGCCTGCTGCGCAGCCGCTCTTCGCAACCTTCCCGGTGGTGAGTCAGCCCGTGGGGCCCCCCCTTCCCTCAGCCACCCTTGGAGAGGTCGCAACAGAAAAGGGCTCCCTCCGTCTGGGGCGTGGGCGAGCCTGCGCGGCCTCGCAGGGGCCGGGGCCATTTGAGCCGGGTTCCGTGGGGTGAATAGGAGAGTTCAGGCAGAGGCGAAGAGGAGAGCCCACCACGGGCGTTGCAGGGATGCCAAGGCTGGGTGCATCCTGGGAGTGAGGGCTGTTGGTCCAACTTACTGGGGAGAAGATAGGAAGAGGTGGGGGTTCCACTGTGAGGGAGACCCCAGGGCCTTTGGTAGCAGATGAGTTGATAGAGAGTTTTAGAAGAACCCTGGCTGCCTGCGGAGGAGAGCTTTGAGGTTCGCCCCCCGGTGTGGAGCAGTGGAGAACCTGGAGATCCCGGGGGCTGCAGCCTGGCTGGGGGAGGCTGGGCGGTGGCTGACCATGCCCTCACCCCGTGTCTGGGGCTGCGGCCCGCCCCCTCCCCACGCCCTGGCCTCCGCCCCTGCAGTACAGTGGCCCCGTGGCGGGCGTGCCGGCCCCGGCCCCGGCGCCGGCGGAGCGCAGGCCCCTGCCCAAGGACTACATGGTGGAGTCTGTGCTGGCAACCCTCTTCTGCTGCCTGCTCACCGGGCTCATCGCCGTCGTCTACTCCCACGAGGTAGGAGGGCGGGCGGGGGTGCCCTGGTGCAGCCTCCCGGCCTGCCGTGCCGGGTCCCCCGTGGTCCCCCCACCCCCGAGAAGGCTGGCAGAATTGGCAGATCAGTGCCCCGTTGTCTGGGGTCCTGGCCGCCTCCTCTGTCGTCTCTGCCCCCTGCCACTCAAGATCTTCTCTGGAAGATTCCACTGAAACAGTTCACACTGAGGCGTGAACGATCCAGGCCCAGGGAGCTGCCCATCCTGTGGGGCTCGAGCTTCAACTTAGACTTTTTTAAAAAATAATTTAACTTGGGCTCTGCTGGGTCTTGGTTGTTGCTTGGGGCTTTCCCTAGTTGCAGCGAGCAGGGGCTCCTCCTGGGTGAGGTGTGTGGGCTTCTCTCGTTACGGAGCAGGGGCTCTCGGGCACGTGGTCTTCAGTAGTCGTGGTTCCCGGGCCCTAGAGCATGGGCCAGTGTTTGTGGCGCATGGGCTTAGTTGCTCCATGTCTGTGGGGTCTTCCCAGATCAGGGATCAAGCCCACGTCTCCTGCATTGGCAGGCGGATTCTCTACCACGGAGCCACCAGGGAAGCAGTAGCGGCTTGTGTTTAATCTGTCCATCTGCCCGCTTATTCTACCCACCCACCTCTGTCTGTCCTTCCCAGCTACCCACCTCTCCATCCACCCGCTGCCTGCCTCTCCATCCACCATCTGTCTAGGCTGCATCTATGCATCCACCCACCCCGTTCATCCAGTAATGCGCCCGTCTGCCTACTCAGCCGTCTGCCTGTCCACCCACCATCCACCCACCTGCCATCTCGATAACACCCTTTCTTTTTCCTCCCTCCCCGCCATTCCTGACCTTGACTCAGCCCTGGGGGACTCTGCACGACGCTGTCCTAATAGAGTAGGAAGTCCCTGGGGCTTCTGCTCAAGGCTGACCTGAGTCTCCCGGAGGTCAGGCTCCCTGGTCGTAAGCAAGACGGGACCTGGGCGGGGGAGCTGAGTGAGGACCGGGCCCCTCAGAGGTGCGATTCTGGAGGCTGCTGCCTGCCTGTCAGTTCTGGCTCCGCCACCAGCTGCGGGGCCCTGGGGTGGGTCACCTAACCTCTCTGAGCCTTTGTTTTCTCATCTTCATAGAGGGGCCAACGATGATACTGAAATCGGGGTTGTGTGGATGGTGAGGGATGGGGCCTGGAGTGCGGATGTGGGGCCACCGCCACCGCCTCGATGGCTGCCGCTCCCGCGTGAGCCGTGGCCTGGACCAGGCCCGACCGCCTCGTGGGGTCAGCTGTCCAGTCTGTGCACTGGGGCTGGGCGGGCTCCGGGGTGTCTGGGTCCGCTCACCGCTCCTCTGGTCTCGTTGCAGACCCGCGCGGCCCTGGCCCGGGGAGACCTGGCCCAGGCTCAGGAGGCCTCTCGCAAGGCCCGCTTGCTGGTGCTCTTCAGCCTGCTCTTCGGGGTCTTCGTGTCCACCAGCTGGGTCATCTACGTGGTGGTCGCCCTCTACCTGCCCTGAGCGCTGCTGGCTCCCAGGCCACTCTGGGTCCTCAGCCAGGCTCCTTCTGTGGACGTGAATTCTCGCCGGCGGCCTCCTGTCACCCAGAGGGGACCTGGGCGGGGGGCCAGGAGACAGTGGACTCTGCGGCCCATGGCACCCCTGTGGCCGGGCCTCAGCGTCCTGGCCCGAGGGGGCCCCAGTGCCCTGGAGGCTCCAGCTGGGGGACGGGGGCCAGCGCCCCCACAGCCTGGCCTTCGCCTGACCTCGAGGGACCAGCGCCCTCCTCTCCGCGGAACCGCTGGCAAGGACGTTACCACCTCTGGCTGCCTGTGCCCACAGGGCCGAGCTGCCCGGCTCTCGCCCTCCCTGTGGGAGCTGAGAGGAGCAGCCTCCCCTCTCCTGGGTTGCCCCCACCCAACCCGGGAGGCAGCCTCTCTCTCTCCTGCTGACCCCTCGCCCTGAAACCAGGCCACGGTGTCTGGTCAGTGGACTTACAGCAACACGCCGGGCGGAGCGTCTCGTGGCTGCTTCGGGGAGTTGCTGGTTCTGGTCCTTTCAGGGGCTCTGGGGTTCCCCCCCTCCTGTCCCTCCTGGATGCTGTTCTCTGCCCACGCTGCCATGGTGTCTGACTCGTGCACGTGGGCTGGAGCAGGGCGGGAATTTCTGTTGGGTCTTTCCTGGCCAGAGGTGACGGGAGAGTGGGGATGTCCACCCGCATGGAGAGGAGGAGGGGACCCCGGCAGAGTCATGAAGGTGGACAGCTCCGGGGGGGCTCTCTGAGCGCCTACTGGGTGCTGGTCATCACGCCGGGACCCGCCAGGACCGGGAACTGAAGCAGGATCACGTCCCATCTCAACTGTTGGGAAGCTTCGGGAGCCCGGGAGATGCGGATGCAGAAGCAAGAGAGGCAGGATGCTGCGTGGAGCTTGAGAGGTGGCCTCGTGGTCCAGGCTGTGGGGCTGGCCCAGATTAAGGCTCTCAAACCCTAAGATGCATGATTGTCATGAAAGAGGAGGAGGAAATGGGTCTTAAGGGTCCATAGATGCTGGACGGCCACAGGGACTCCTGTCACTAAACTCTTTTAAGTAAAATCAAAATAGAAAGAAATCATATAGACCAGTGTGCCGATAGCCCAAAAGCCTACAGGAAACACCTGGGAGCCTTGTTAAGGTGCAGATTCTCATTCTATAAGGAGGACCCGAGATCCTGCAGTTCTCATTTCTGCTTCTAGGTGCCACTGAAGCTGGTAAATGGACCAAGTGCATGTGGTTAAAACCGTTAAACCAGGACCAAGCCACAGACGCCCCCTAGAGTCTCCGTTCAGCACTGTTGTGAAGTTCTAGCTAATGAAACAAACAGCAAAAAATGAAATTTGTAGTATGAAAACTAGAAGAGAAAAAATGATGCTCTGGCTAGAGTATGCAAAAGTCCATGAAAAATTAGAATAAGAGGACTCAGAAAAGTGATTATAGTAGTCAGTAGCAATATTCAGTTAAAAGTGGAAAAAATTTAAAATTCCACTCAATACTATGATAAAAAAATAGTAAAACTTAGGCATAAATTTAACAGGAAGAAAGAGAACAATTTTTTTTGAAGGAAAGTACATGTGTTATAAGGCGCCATACAAGGAGTCTGGGACAGCTAGTGTTTATAAAAAAAACCCAACACCTCTGAAAAAAGCAAAGAACAAAATATCTGCACAGAAAGATGTAATATGTTAAAACATCTAGCTTTCTTAAACAGATTTAATGAAATTTCAACAAGAAAGCCAAGCTTTTAAAACTGACAAAGCTGTTTAAAAAATTAATATGGAAGGAAAATGTGCAAGAATGACTAATTTTTCAGTTTAATGAGGGAAGACTATCTTCACCAGATTTTGAAACTTACAATAAAGCTATAGTAAATGCAGGGTACAGCATGGCTTTGCCACAGAGCTGGAATGGTGAAACAGAGAAGCCCAGAAAACATTTCAAGTGTATGTGGGACATTAATTTCTGGCCCAGATAGCGTTTTAGTTGAGTGAGTCAGGGCAGACAGTAAGGAGAGTTGGCTAACTGGTTGGAAAAAAACTGATTGTCCTCCTGTTATATAAATAAATTCCAGACGGGTTACAGAGCTAAGTAGTATGAAATAAAGGTGTACTAATCTTATATGAGGCTTAGGGGAGTACTTTTATAACTTCAGGGTGTTAGGCAGTGTGGAAGGGGTGGCCTCCTAGAATCTGGACTACTGTCTCGGAAAAGACTGGTAGCTTTGAGTTCTGTGTGTTAGGGAAGAACTTACTTAAACCATCGGATGATTTTTACTTATCAGATTGGAAAACGTTAGAAAGGTTGATTCCGGGGCTGTGAAACCTTGACCCACTCATTTGTTGCTAGGGAGGTGTGCATTGCTACCCTCTTTGTAGAAAATAGACTGGTATCTATTAGTAGTATGTGTACTAGGTATTAATGTGCACGTATGTGCAAAGACCAGAGTCTGGAAGGATGTGTTCCAAACTGCTGAGAGCGACTGCCTCTGGGGAGGGACTGCACTGGGAGGGTTTGTGCAACACATGGCTGGATTTTAAAATGTGGGTGTATTCACGTGTTGTGTGATTAAAAAGCAACTGGAAAAACTGTGCGTGCCTTTTGACCCAGTCATTCCAGTTTGGGGGTCCTCCGGGGTGGAAGAAGCCGTCCGTTTCAACAGACGTTTGTCAGTGTTGTTACTGAAGGGCCCTGAAGGAGAGCTGGCAGGGGCAACTCTGGAATGAAAGCTCTGATGACATTGGGGCGTGTCCTGATCTTGGGGATGTTGAAATGCACATGTCTTAGCGTTGCGGCAGTGTGGCGTCGAGGTGTTTGACCTCGGAGAGTGGTAGAGACAGGCCTTCCTGAGAAGGCTGAGTGTGGATGCAGCCGTCCCCAGGTGGTTCCATCATTTTGCGTTCCCACCAGCACCTGTGGGGTTCCCAGTTGCTCCACAAACTCATCAGTCCCTGGTTTTTGTCAATCTTTTACATTTTAGGGCTTCTGGTTGTTAAAACTATGGTGATATTTTAGTGTGGCTTTAATTTGCATTTTGCTGACTAATGGATGATACTGGGCTTTTTATCACATGCTCATCAGCTATGATGATGATCTGATGATCTCTTCAGATATGATCTCTTTTAAACTTTTATTTATTTTTGGCTGCTCCGGGTCTTTGCTGCCCTTGAGTGGATTTTCTCTAGTTGTGGCGAGCGGGGGCGCCTCCTCGCTGGGCTGCAGGGGCTTCTCACTGCGGGGGCTTCTCCGGCTGCAGGGCGCGGGCTCTGGGGGCGCGGGCTTTGGTAGTTGCAGCTTGCAGGCGCAGTCGTTGCAATGCATGGGGCTCGGTGCTCTGCGGCATGCGGGATCTTCCAGGATCAGGGATGGAAACTGTGTCTCCTGAGTTGGCAGGCGGATTCTTCCCCACTCCGCCACCAGGGAAGTCCTGGATCGCTTGTGCTTGTTCAAGTCTTATGCCCGTTTCTGGGCTGGATTGTCTTTCTCTCATCAGCTCAGAGGAGTTCTTTGGTGCTTTTTAGGTATGAGTCATGTGTTAGATTCAGGGATCGCAAATACCTTCTACTTTTGTAGCTTCCCTTTTTTACTCCCTTAATGGTGTTGTTGGATGAAAAGAAGTTCTCAACTATAACCATGCAGATTTATCTTTTCCTTCATGGATTATGTTCTTTTGGAAAATTTTTAGGAAAATTTTCCTACTCCTGGGTCATGATCAGATATTCTCTTTTGTTGTCTTCACGATCTAGAAGCTGTATTGGTCTCTTTTCACATTGTTTTCAGATTTCCACCCAGCGGGACTAGATCCTAGAAGTCCGTTTGTCTGCTTTGGTTACCACAGTCTTACTTCATGTCTGAGACTTGATATAAGTCTTGCCATTGAGTGGGTCAAGTCCTGGCACCATCCTTGAGGGTCTGATCATTTAAAATCATTTGTATTTACAGTAAATTTTAGAATTAACCCTTCACCTCCTAAAAGCACTGGGATGTTGACTATGATCGCTTTAAGTCTATAGATTCATATGAGGACAACAGACATCTTCACAGCACTGTTTTTCCAACAAACGTGGTGAATCTCCTTATGTTTAATAGGTTGTTTAAACAGTTCCCTTGATTTTTTTTTGGTGTGTGTGTATGCAGAAAATCTGCACATCTTTTGTTAGTATCCACAGAGTATTTGATTTTTTTGCTCCTTTAATAAATATGATCACTTTTATTTCTTTTGTTACTTGTTAGTGTACAAAAATGCAGTTGATTCTTGGAACCCAGCACCTCTTTCTAAATTCACTTATTCTGGTAACTTATCTGGAGATTCTGTTGTACTTTCAGTTTGCACAGTCTCTTCTATATATAGTATTATAATCTATGTATGTAATGAGTTTTTTGTTTCCTTTCCTGTCCTTACTCTCCTTACACTGGTTGGAACCCCAAGTACAATGCCAGGTGGCAGAGCTGACAGTGGCAGCCTTCTTTTTCCTTGTTTCAAAAGGAAGGCTTCCACATACCCTGTTCTTAAGGAAGTACTCTTCTATTTTGCTAAGAGTTTGTGTGTGTGTGTTTGTGTTTAATTACGCTTTCTAATCATGCACGGGGGAATTCCCTGTGGTCCTGTGGTTGGGATGCGAGCCTCCATTGCAGGCAGGATCCCTGGTCAGGAACTAAGATCCCACAAGCCACTCAGCTTGGTGCAAAAAAAAAAAAAAAAAAAAAAAAAAAATCCATGCACAGATATTGAATTTTATTCCTTTTACATGTCTACTGAGAAAATTATCTCACTTATTCTGTTAATATGGTGACTTCATGTTGATTTTCAAATATTAAGGTAACTTTTCACTCCTGGAACAAACTATCTTGATCATGACGTATTATCCTTTTTTATATTTGATGGACTGTTTCTAGATATTTTGTTTAGGATTTTTGGTACCTGTGTTCATAAGTGAAGTTGATCTGTAATTTCATTCTTATTTGTGACTTTGGTAGCAGGGTTGTTACATGAGTTGGGGAGGGATTTTCCTTTTGGAAGTGTTGTGTAAGAACGTTCAGTGTTTAGTGTTCCTGAGAGCTGTAAAGCTCCCCTCTAGCATCATAGATTTGTTCATTTGTTCATCATATCATCTGTTCATATCGTTGGCTCTTGCCTCAGATATTTTGAGGCTACATAGTTAGATGCAGTGCCAAGAGGCATATATATTTAGAAATGGTTAAATCTTTCTGTTGCTTGTACCTTACAGCTTGCCAGGGATCTCTTTAACTCTAGTAGTGTCTTTTGCCTTTTTTTTTTTTTTAATATTAATATAGCTATGCTAATTTTCGGGCGGCTGTATTTGAAAGTAAAGTATGGAAAAAGACATACTCTGCTATCTGTCTGAACCTTTATATACATCTTGTTAACAGAACACAGATTTTTGTCTGACAGTCTGCCTTCCAACTAGAGAGTGTAGTCCATTTATTTAATGTAGTTAATAAAAAATATGGGTTTGAATCCACCATCTCACTGTTTGCTTTCTACTGGTCCCACCAATGCTATGCTTCTATCTCTTTCCTTCCTTGCCTTTTATTTATTTATTTTTCAGTTCAGTTCAGTCGCTCTGACTCTTTGTGACTCCATGGACTGCAGCATGCCAGGCCTCCCTGTCCATCGCCAACTCCTGGAGTTTACTCAAACTCATGTCCGTTGAGTTGGTAATGCCATCCAGCCATCTCATCCTCTGTCGTCCCCTTCTCCTCCTGCTTTCAATCTTTCCCAGCATCAGGTGGCCAAAATATTGAAGTTTCAGCTTCAGCATCAGTCCTTCCAATGAATATTCAGGACTGATTTCCTTTAGGATGGACTGGTTGGATCTCCTTGCCATCCAAGGGAATTTCTCATGATGTACTCTGCATATAAGTTAAATAAGCAGGATGACAATATACAGCCTTGACATACTCCTTTCCTGATTTGGAACCAGTCTGTTGTTCCATGTCCACTACCAACTGTTGCTTCCTGACCTGCATGCAGATTTCTCAGGAGGCAGGTCAGGTGGTCTGGTATTCCTATCTCTTTCAGAATTTTCCACAGTTTGTTGTGATCCACACAGTCAAAGGCTTTGGCATAGTCAATAAAGCAGAAGTGTATGTTTTTCTGAAACTCTCTTGCTTTTTCGATGATCCAATGGATGTTGGCAATTTGATCTCTAGTTCCTCTGCCTTTTCTAAATCCAGCTTGAACATCTGGAAGTTCACGGTTCATGTATTGTTGAAGCCTGGCTTAGAGAATTTTGAGCATTACTTTACTAGCGTGTGAGATGAGTGTAATTGTGTGGTAGTTTGAACATTCTTTGGCATTGCCTTTCTTGGGGATTGGAATGAAAACTGACCTTTTCCAATCCTGTGGCCACTGCTGCATTTTCCAGATTTGCTGGCATATTGAGTGCAGCACTTTCACAGCATCATCTTTTAGGATTTGAAATAGCTCTTTTCTGGAATTCCATCACCTCCACCAGCTTTATTCATAGTGATACTTCCTAAGGCCCACTTGACTTCACATTCCAGGATGTCTGGCTCTAGGTGAGTGATCACGCCATCGTGATTATCTGGGTCATGAAGATCACTTTTGTGTAGTTCTTCTGTGTATTCTTGCCACGTCTTCTTAGTATCTTCTGCTTCTGTTAGGTCCCTACCATTTCTGTCCTTTATTGAGCCCGTATTTAAGTTGCCATCTGAAAAGTTCCCTTGGTGTCTGATTTTCTTGAAGAGATCTCTAGTCTTTCCCATTCTGTTGTTTTCCTCTATTTCTTTGCACGGATCACTAAGGAAGTCTTTATCTTTCCTTGCTATTCTTTGGAACTCTGCATTCAAATGGGTATATCTTTCCTTTTGTCCTTTGCCTTTCGCTTTTCTTCTTTTCATAGGTATTTGTAAGGCCTCCTCAGACGGCCATTTTGCTTTTTTGCATTTGGGGATGGTCTTGATCACCGACTCCTATACAATGTCTTGATACTTCGTCCGTAGTTCTTCAGACACTCTGTCAGATCTAATCTCTTGAATCTACTTGTCACTTCCACTGTATAGTTATAAGGGATTTGATTTAGGTCATACCTTAGTGGTCTAATGGTTTTCCCCACTTTCTTCAATTTAAGTCTGAATTTGGCAATAAGGAGTTCATGATCTGAACCACAGTCAGCTCCCGGTCTTGTTTTTGCTGACTGTATAGAGCTTCTCCTCTTTGGCTGCAAAGAACATAATCAATCTGATTTCGGTGTTGACCATCTGGTGATGTCCAAGAGTCTTCGCTTGTGTTGTTGGAAGAAGGTGTTTGCTGTGACCAGTGCGTTCTCTTGGCAAAACTCTGTTAGCCTTTGCCCTGCTTCATTTTGTACTCCAAGGCCAAATTTGCCTGTTACTGCAGGTGTCTCTTGACTTCCTACTTTTGCATTCCAGTCCCCTCTACTGAAAAGGACGTCTTTTTTGGGTGTTAGTTCTAAAAGGTCTTGTAGGTCTTCATAGAACTGTTCAACTTCAGCTTCTTCAGCATTACTGGTTGGGGCATAGACTTGGATTACCATGATATTGAATGGTTTGCCTTGGAAACGCACAGAGATCATTCTGTCATTTT